CTTCTAACTAATCATGTTGAATAGAAGGACTTGCATCTTCAAGCGCCACAAATCGAAATTATTCACACCGGTGAATTTCTGAATCTCATACTTTGTTGACTGAATCTTCTTCTCCATGCTCATCATACCAGTTTGTTGTGAAATTATGGTTTCAATAACAGAACAAAATTATGAGATAGAGATTGATTTTCTTGGAAAAAAACACAAGAAACTCAATTAGGTTTTACGAAATATAGAGAAGAAGGAAGAAGAAGAAGAAGAATTGGTTAAAATTATTGTATTATTCACTTTCTCAATAAAGTTTCAAAGATTACAAGTGAATACCAACTATTAACCTCTCTCAACAACCTGAGAGAACTAGTTTATTTATAGACTACTAAGGTAACTTAGGCTACAAGCTAACTTAACAATTGGATTTACATGTAAGGCCCCATAACATGCTTTAAAAACGAAACATATTTCGACGACATGCTTGAACAAACTTCGACTACAACATTCACAATTCCTGTTGAACCATGAAGTCACCCTTGTCGACACTAGAGTTCAATCCAAATACCACAAGATGGTTGATGACAGGTAGAAGATCAAGTTTTGGCATGATGTCTAGGTAAGATCTTCCCCTTTGTATGTCTCTTTTGATAAGCTTTTTCTTATATCTAAACAAAAGCATCATATGGTGGGTTCTTATGAGGGGTGATTTGAGTGTGGAGTTTTTTCGTGGAGGAGGGATTTTCTAGTTTGGAAGGTGGAGAATTTTGAGGCTTTACTCGGTCTTATTTCGGGGGTGGTTAGGCGTGGGCAGATAGATTTGTGGTTTTGGAAACCAAGTTCGAATAGGGGCATTTTGATTAGATCAACTTATGATAATCTGTCGGAATTGGCTAGGGGTAGTGAAGGTAGTTCTTATAGGTGTTATGGGGTATTTATAGTTTAGAAGAGTTTAACTCTTTCTAAAGTAGTAGTGTTCTCATGGTAGTTGTGTGAAATTAGGTTGCCAACTAGAAATAATCTCTTGATGCAGAAAATCATGTCTGGTTTTGGTAGTGCATGGTATTTTATATGCGAGGGTGGAGAGGTGAATCAGCTAATCATCTCTTTGTTTTGTGTGAGGTGGCTTCATCTATCTAGTATAGAGTTTTTAGACAGGTGTAAATGCTTTGATCTTATGGGTGTTTGAGTTGTTCCAAGGTATAGATCACGGGGAATAGGTGTCTTTAGGTTTGACCTTGATCTGACATTATGTTGTCTAGATGATTTGGAAAATACGAAATGAAGTTATTTTTATAGGGAAACCTTAATGAGTTATATGTAGATGTCAACGAATATCAGCTTGGTGTGGAAGTGGGTTTATGCCCATGCTTTGGGTTTTGTTGTTTCTCTGGCTGACTCGGAGCAGAATCCATTCAAGTGGTTAGGCATTTAAAAGTGTGATTGATGGCTAATTGTCCTCCCATGAGGTTATGTCTACCTTCCTCCACCTCAATTTTTCGGAGGTTTGTTGAGTCGAAGTATTCAAGATATATTGTACTGTTAGACTCGTTGGCTTGTGTTTTATTTTTCTCGCAATTTTATTATTTTTATTTTTAGTTTGTTTTTCGACATACTTTAGCCAAGTTTGCTACTTTTGCGATGAGGTTCCTCTTATATCTTTTGTAACTTTTATTCCTATGATTTTTTCTTTGCTATTCAAAAATAAAAACACAAGTACATTAAGTATGATAATGGCATAAAATTCTTAATATATAATTAATATGCACATCATATAACTAACATGGGAAGAAACACCACAACAAGTTGCTAGTGTAGAGACAAATCATAAGCACATTTGCATCCTCAATATGACTAGACCATTCCTTTTTTGCACACATGTTTCATGAAGTTTTTGGTGTTTTATTATCAAACATGTTTTCCATCTCATTAACTAACTACTTGTTGGGGTTGGTTGAAAATATACATGTTGAAGAAGTCTCACACCGCTCAGTTTTGTGAATGAAGAGGAGCCCAAGGCTATATATAAGATACAATTTTTTTAAAGTCCTGCATCGCTTAGTTTTGTGAAGGAAATGGGAGTTCAAGGCTATACATATGGTCTACGTTCTTCATTCTAAGATGTACCACTCAAAAGTACTTTAAGCTTGTATTTGACTTTTTTTTTACATTTTCTCTTATACTCTTGATTTAGAGTGTTGTGAGGGGTAGTTAAATATTTGCTTTAGAGAGTATGAGTGTACTGGGGTCTTAGGGTGGTTGAGGATAGTATATGTGTTGTAATAATTTTCACATAGTGTTATTCTCTGGTTATTATTTGACAACGGTCATGGTTTTCCTGTGTTGTGATTGTGTTCCTCTTGTTTTTCTATGTTTGTTTTTTCCTAACAACTGGTATCAGAGATAGAATTTTTTTTTTTACTTGTGGAAAGATCAAATCAAAGATATGTTGATACCATCAAGATTACACAACGTACAAGATTATATCAGTGGTTGAAGAGCTTCCTACCAACAAGGAAGTTGCACCATAATGTTTCAACCTGATTTTCAACATGTGAAAATTCTTGAAGTGGTTTACCTTCAAGTGAAGTATACTTTTCTTTAGGTGGAGTATGATAGTTTTTTAAAACTATGATTGTCGGTGAAGACAATGTAAAATTCTTGGAATGTTTTAGCTTCAAGTGAAATTTATTCTTCATGATAAAGTATATGATTGTCGGTGATGACAATGTGAAATTCTTGAAGTGGTTTATTTTCAAGTGAAATGTATTTTTCATGAGATAGTATCATAATTTTTAAAATTATGATTATCGGTGAAGACAATGTGAAAATTCTTGGAGAGGTGTAGCTTCAAGTGACTATACTATTTATGGTGGAGCATGATTGTCGATGAAAACAATGAAAATTTATATATTATTTTCAATCAAGGTGGAGGTTGTTGGGGTTGGTTAAAAATATACATGTTGGTACTATTTATGGTGGAGTATGATTGTCGGTGAAGACAATGAAATCTTATATATTATTTTCAATCAAGGTGGAGATTGTTGGGATTGGTTTAAAATATACATGTTGAAGAAGTCTCACATCGCTCAATTTTGTGAAAGAAGAGGAGTCCAATGGTGGTTGAGGGTAGTCTATATGTTGTAACAATTTAGAGTGTTGTGAGGGGTAGTTTATTTTCTTTGGAGAGTGTGAGTGTACTAGGGTCTTAGGGTGGTTGAGGGTAGTCTATGTGTTGTAACAATTTTCACATATTGTTATTCTCTGGCTGTCATTTGACAACGGTCATGGTTTTTCCTCCCGTTTTGGAGTTTCCAGGTTATGTTTCTGTGTTGTGATTGTGTTCCTCTTTTTTCTCTATGTTTGTTTTTTCCTAACACTACTTTCTAATGTTTTATATAATAAATCAGTCATGAGATTTTATATGGCATTTCTCCTGATCTTCAGCAACTCAAGATTTATTGGTTGTCTAGTATTTGCATCCATTCTCATACAACGCAAAAATAAATTTGACGCTTGTCCTAAAAATGTATTTTCTTAGTTTTTCAAGTTGGTGTAAAAGGAATCACCCTCGTGGATCCGTCTACAAGATAAATTTTCTTGTGAGACATATCCACATTTATGAGGAAATCTTCACATACATTACATATACAACACCACTTCAACTCAATCACGGTTATCCATCTAAAAATACCTTGTCATTCTTGTCGCCTTAGTTAGAACCTCCTACTAGCACGCATCAACCTACTTGTCTCTTTAGCTAGAATCTCCTACTCACACATTAACTTTTAGTCATCTGTTGTATAGTATTTTAACAACTTGACCTCATAATCAATAATAATTGCCAAAATTATATAAAAACCTACCTATTGTTGAAGTAGGTCTTAAAATCTTAAGTGATGAAGAGAGAAAATATATTTCTATATTGTAGAAACCAAAATACAAAGCCATAAAAGCATCCAGAAGGTCGACAAAAGGCGTCAGAATCGCAGGTAGGTGGTCTGGCAGAGGCGGCCAGTGACGCTGGAAGACGACTACCATAATCATAAATCAGGTGTGGTGGTGTCTGGGTTGGAAGGAGTTCAAATTGGTCTGCGGGCGGTTCAGGTTTTCGATCATCCTATTCAATTTATTCGGTTCGTGTAGTTTGGACTTCTTCTTTTTGGTCGGTGGATATGTTCGTTATTGAGTTGTATTTTAGGTTTGTATTATTGTTATAAATATGTATCTATTGTATTATTGTTATTACAATCTTTTGAAATTTAGAGTTGAATACAAAGGGAAGAGTTTGGAATCCTAGTGATAATCTTATAGAGGTAAAGGTGAGTATTTAAGTGTGTTCTTAAAATTTAAGAAATCTTTAGAAATATTTAAGACGGATTGTGAAACATTTCTAAACGTCGATCTTAATCTTTTAGGATTGATATTTAAAGAGAGAATGAGATTGAGAAACATTTAATACATTTCTTTATGAACAACAATGGTTAACATATCTACTTTAGTCTTTAGGATCTCAGTGCCTCTTCTCGAAAACTTGATTTACTTTTTGTGATAGTCTATCTACTATGCACATTGCAGCAAATGTGTTATCATATTGTTAGGGAGAAACTTTCATCTCTTGCTTTTCCATTCCTCAATTTTATGATTTGCTCACAATGGCCTTGGACCCTACACCATTATAGATAGTTTCCAAACATTCAAGCAATTCACACTCTATCTTAAAGGAGGGTAATAGAATTTGTTAACAAGTCATAATGTTGACTTTGTCTAAATATTATAGTTGTTTATAATTAGTTATAACTAACTTCCAATTATTTCAGTTACATTTTTTCTACTCCTTAAATATTAATATTTTTTTATTAATATAAATAATAAGACAATTTCTTTTCATTCAACAATTACAAATCTCTTAAAATGTGTGAATAAATAAATTCTAAAACTTGAAATTACTTGTACACCAGACAAATTAAATCAGAAAATTGATAATTGAAATTAAAGTTGAGCAATGTTACCTTTGTAGATCTTATATTCTTAAGTGCTGCCTCTAATTGATTCTCAATCTGTTGGAGCTCGTTTGTATTCATTTGTGCAATATCTTCTCCAAGAAGGTTCCTACACCATTTAGAAACATTAACTCACTCAAAGTATTCATCAAAATATTCAACATATATGTATGAACTCAGAATAATAAAGTATACTACTATAGGTAGAATATTCAAGTGCACTTTTTATTGAGTCAAATTAAGTTAATTACCTTTGTGAACGTTGTAAGATCTCTACATTTGCTTTTAATCTCACATATTCCTGGTAATTCTGTCAAGAGACAAAATTGCTATTACATTATCCATATAGTATTAATAAATAATAAAATTATATATAAAAAATTAAAAAATTTCTATGAAAAACAAAAATTAAATTATATATAAAAGTGTAACAAAAGATATACATACCTCAGCATCATTGGCTGGTTGATTGGTCTCTAGTGCATTGTATCTGTACTTGTGGTATTTCTCCAATGTTTTCATCATACTGTAACACACACACAAAAAAAAAAAAAAAAAAAAACTCCAGTAATGCTATTATAATATTTTGGTCCAATAAAATTTCATTTAAAAATATTAACCAATAGTTATTTCACTTTTAATAAAAGACAAATATATATATATATATATATATATATATATATATATATATATATATATATATATATATATATATATATATATATATATATATATATATATATATATATATATATATATATATATATATATATATATATATATATATATATATATATATATATTCACCATCAGTATCTGGTTCACTAGACCGATTAATCTAATTAGATGATTTCAAACAACTTTCAAACACAATTGCAAGAAATTGAATCGTAATCTTCTCTATTAAATTCAATGATGTTAATTATCACGGAACCAACTCATTTTTCGCAACAAAAAGAAAAATTTGGTACCTAACAAAACAGTTTCTGCAGATAGAATTTAATGTTTTATTTTTTGGTATATGTTAGGAATCAAACAGTTATTCCCCAACGGTTTTAAGGATAGAAGCTGATTTACTTTTTTTACAGCCTTTAGAAGCAAAAGATACTGTTTCTCTCTCTCTCTGAACAATCCTTAAACTGCAATGCAAATCCAAAGTAAAAAACAGGTTTGCATTGCAAATCAAACATCCCATCACTGACACCATATCACAACAGTATAAGTAAATCTTAACTATATTCTTAATCACATTTAGGTCAAAAATTTAATTACTAATAAATACATAATTACTAATATATCTGATGATTATTAGGGCTAGTTCAATGTATAATACTCATCAACATAAATAACTCATTTTAAACAAATTTTAAGACTTTTGGAAGCATTTTCATACTTTTTGCTAGCTGATTATAATTATTTAACAAAAAAAATTATGAAGTTGCCCTAGTTAAGAACTTATATTGAAGTAAAAACTAGCAAAGCTTTTTCAAAATAAATATTTAAAAGATTCCTTTCCTCTTTTACACTGCTTCAGATCTTCACATGATCATAAAGCTTGAAACTAAATGAGTAAAAAATGATTATTTTGAAACAAGAAATATAGAGAAAATTAAAGATCTGAAAAAATAATTTATATATACATATTTGAAGAAAAAAGAAAAAAATCAGAAATAGTTGTTAACTTGAGGAGAATAAGCTCTAAATCACAGATCTTGCACATAAAAAAGTGATTAAAGGAAGAGTTACCAGGAGGTGCTGCTGAACTCATAGAGTTTGCCACGGTTGGAGAAGATGATGAGAGCAACTTCAGCATCACAAAGGATTGAAAGCTCATAAGCCTTCTTGAGTACACCATTTCTTCTCTTAGCAAAAGTGACTTGTCTGTTAATTTTGTTCTCTATCCTCTTTAGTTCAACTCTCCCTCTTCCCATTTTTGTTCTCTCTTGCTCTCTTTCTTGTATTGGTTAAGAGATGAGAATGCTTTCTTAAATGGTTTCTTTGTTAAGGTTACAAAAAGGATAAAAACAATAGTGCAAATAGAAGAAGAAATATAAGAGTAGAAAATTATATGGAAAAAAAGTTGACTTATATGTTTGTTTCTTTTTTTTTTGTACTATAAATATAATTGCTTAATCAGCATAATAAAAGATATCTAGGTATCTAACACCTGAAACTAAGCCAACTATAACACCTGAGTTTCTAATATAAGTGCTTGAGTTTTTTACCTTTTCATTGAATTTCAGTTAAGCTTGAATAGGAAATAGTATAGGGTTAGTAGCTAGGTTATGTCCTTTGTTGTCAGCATCAACTTTAATATTGGTCCACATCAACAAGACAAAAGAGATATTAGCTGGTCACTCTTTAAAATCAGAAGTGGAGATCTAGCCATTGAGCTTTCTATGATTTAATTGGTTCATCATGTTAAATCAAAGTTGGTTTGGATAATGTCTCTATAAATCTATAAATAAGCTCAATTGATAGTTATGTAAATATATCAAATATAAAGAAGCAAATTTGAATCGACAACATTATATTTATTTATCTTTAAAAAATGAATTTTAGTCACTAAATTATTTGATAAAAAAATTCGATTTTGATAATTAATATTAAAAAAATATTTATTTTAAAAATATTTTTAAAAATTATTTATTTATAAATATCAACAATTTATTTACAATAATATATTATAAAAAATATAAAATTTTACACCCATTTAATTCAAATTAATTGAGCTACTTATATCTATTTAATTTAAATGAGTTAAGTTACTTCTCTTACTTTATATTTTTTAATATAAAAATAAATAAATAAATAAATAGGGAAAATAAAAAGAATGCGGCATAAAACCTAACCCATTAAAAAGCTAATAAAAATGATAGTTGTACATGTTCAACCTATATCTCAAAAAACTTTCTAAAACACAAATAGAAACTGAATTCCACCAAGTGTCATAATCAACAAAAACTCTGCATTAGCTAATTTATCTACATATATATTTCTCTCTCTGAAAATGTGAGATATCTTGAATCTGAAGGAACATATAGTGCGTAAAGTATTCTTCCATTTAATTAAAATATGGCAAAAGGGAAATATAATATTCATATTAGAAAATGTATGAATGATCAACATTAAGTCAATTTCAAGGTAAAGATTTCTCTAATTCTTCCTGTTAGCAACTTTGATAGAAAGCATGCTTCAAGAATGTTTCTAAATTATGTCTAAATATGTCACTACATGTTGATATTTCAGAATTTCCTCTTGAAGTTCTATATGTGTTGCACTTAGTCCAATTATGACTTGGAAAATACCAATTAACTTATATGATTCTAGGTGTAGAGAGGAGATGGATATTTAATGTTAGAGCATTTAATAATCGTAAACTCGTGAGTTAAAGAGTACATATGCCCATTGAAAGAAGTAGATTCCGTATAGGTTAATTGTTTAACATGAAGAATATCTCTATCAAAGTCAATTTTATCATTTTAAAATCTAATATCATTTCTTGTATGCCAAATTTTTCAAAGAATTATAATGAAGAAAGTCATGATCAGATTCTAAATTTGAGAGCTCCAACTTCTACCGAAAAGTTTGAATAAGTTTTCTTAACTAGTTCTATCAATGTTCTGACTAAATAGTTGCTCCATCCAATGCTAAAAAAGTAAGGTGTACATGTGTCTAAGAAATAAGTGGTATGTAGTTTTCACATCATGATCGTAGAGAGAGCATCTTGAAATCATAGGCATTCATTTTCGAATTAAGTTGTCTTTTGTTACAATAAGATCACTAGTGCAGAAATGACTTTTTACATCGGGGAAAAAACACATTTTACATCGGGTCTGGGTCCGATGTAAAGCCGAGCGATGTAGTAAATCAAAGACATTTTACATCGGGTCGTAGACCGATGTAAAAAATACATCTACTACATCGGTTGACAGTTAAGACTGATGTGAAATTTATTATTATTATTATTTTAATTTAAAAAAGCACTTTTTACATCGGTTGCCTTTTTGACCCGATGTAAAAGGTGTCATATGTGTGTTTTTTACATCGGTTGCCTTTTTGACTCGATGTAAAAGGTGTCATAGGTGTGTTTTTTTACATCGGTTTCCTTTTTGACCCGATGTAAAAGGTGTGCTACGTGTCTTCAAAATTTATGTTTTTACATCGGTTTTTAGGCACACCCGATGTAAAATGTAGGTTGTTTTTCTTAAGTATTTAGACTAATTTTTATCTGAATCAATGTGGAATCCCTGTAATTTTTTTGGTACCTAATTTTTCATATTTTTCCAACATCACACACCAAATTTTAGTCCCTATTTGGTATGCAATTTTTTATATTTTTTTCAACTAACCTTTTAGTTTCATTGCACCAAATAGCTAGGATACACATATTCTTCAACATCAACAAATTGATTTACAAAAGTAATAATCTAGTATACATACAACTGTACAAAATTATATGTATGTTTACACGGTGGACTAATACAACAACAAAACTAGTGAAAACAAACAAAAATATTCAACCATTTATAAGTCCTTTACCACACTTGAATACTAACATGCAATCCAAGACTCAGTTATATTGGCAGAGACAAAATCCAAGACTCGGTTATGTTGGCAGAGACAAAATCCAACATATTTTTCATAACATAGTATCCACAGTCAATAGAGTTATGTTGTCGCCTTGTCTAAATCAAAACTTCACGTTTAGAATAGTTAATTAACTTTTCCAAGTGAAAGATCTACACCTCCTTATTTGAAATTCTTAGTTAAGTTGTCATCTAAGTCATCATTTGATGGTCTCTGCAAAAAGAAAGTTAAACCTTAGAAAGTATTGACATTATTTATGTAGAAAAATATGATATATAAATTATAGTTTAATTTTGTGACCATATTTTTTTAATCAATTTAGCAGAAAAATATTTAGCAGAATTTTTTTTTTCATTTTCAATTATTTTGCAGTAATTTAAAACTTTCAAAGAAAAATCAAAGGTTTATCTCCCACTAGAAACCTATACAGGAGACAACACCTTAAAATTCAACCAAACTGAAAGGAAAAATAACCGATTAGAAGAATACACATGAGATGAACAACCAACCAAACATAAATAATAAAAATAAGCAATGCATGGATTTAGTTTCTCTACTATTATGAGTAGCATCACCCGTATCTTTTATTTATTATTTATTATTTTAATTAAGAACAACCTATGATATACATGTACGAGTACGAGTATCAATCCTATTTTGAATAAACATATTTATTTTTTGTATTTTATAAATTGGGGATTAAAAATAAGTAGCAGTACACGATAAACATATTTGTTTTTTGTATTTTATAAATTGGGGATTAAAAATAAGTAGCAGTACACGATAAACATATTTGTTTTTTGATATCTTATATTAGCACCAATTAACCGACCACTTTTTCATAATATGGAAGAATTAAACCACCAATATATGACATTAATTCATTGAAAATATATGAAACAAACTGACTTTTTCTACACACTAAATTTAAAATTCCAGAATTCTTACAAAAATATATTAAAAATAGTAAAATCATGGATTGTTAAAGATACCTTATAGATCGTTGTTATCACCGACAGAGTACTGGAACATAGAAAAAGCTCAAGGTTGTCTCTCCAAGCTCAAGGTTGACAAAATCCTTTATTATTTTAATTAAGAACAACCAGTATCTTTTATTGAGAACTTTTTACATCGGTTGGGATAAATGGCCTGATGTAAAATCCTTTATAACAAAATTTTTTATTATTTACGACACTGCCACCGTGTTATTTTTTACATCAGTGAAAATATATGTCTGATGTAAAATCTTTAAATCAAATATTTCTCACAAATCATATTGTTAATAAATCTGATGTAAAATCCTTTAACAAATATTTTTCACATCATATATTTAAAAATCTGATTTAAAATCATTTAACCAAATGTCTTATTTTTAGTAGTGGATTATGCATTAACTTCTATGTTACTAATGACAAGGTAGTATGTAGGGATGCCAAATGAATTTTGTCCAAGAAGTCTCAATATGATCCCTTCTTATACAATCACAAACATCTTTAAAAGATATATCACCATTTACAGATTGTGTTTAAATGAGTTTATCGACAATAGTATTACCAAATGACAAGTTAAAATTCAAAACGTCTTCAACAATTTGAGGAGGCAAAATGGATAAGCCATGGGGATATTTTCAATTGATGTTTTGGATAATTGAATTGATCTTAGCAATTTGTATAAATTGAATATCCATTGAAAATATTATGTTTAAATCTTTAATTTTGTATCTCAGTCAATTATCATTATATATATCATTGTTCTTCCCATTACCAACTTGCCATCTATTATGTTCATGCAAAAAGGAAAATGAATACTTAATTCCAGGCTATATATTGAAGAAGAAATATGATGCATGTGTGGTTTTTTGTGCCTGAAGTATGTACTAATTATGACCTACGCGATTGTATGTAATGCCAATGATATTGTGATATTGATGGAACATAATGGTGTTAATGATGACTCTGTTATTCAGTGGAATCATGTTGTTTGATCCTCCACTTGATCATCATGATCCTAGATGTTATCTTTTCAGCTGTCTTTGATGATGTTGCTCATTATTAAGTTATCTCAAGCCTCATAAAGGAGAAGATTCAAGGTTCTAATGAAGTGCTAAAGTCAATATAATATAGCAAAGAACTTGAAGTTTCAAAGTTGTGAAAGAGAGGAAATGTAAAAGCTTTTATGGTTGATTGTGTGCTTAGCATATGTTTGAGTAACCAGAGTATTGTAAAATAGTGAAGTAACTCATCAATTACTAAAGCAACTTTCACACACTCACAAAATGTTTTAAGGACTCGCTCTTTTTTATAATTCACCTAAAAATGTTATTTGCATATAGCTAGTTGAT